TGCCTTTAAGCTGCTGTATTCATTCCCATCTGCTCACTATGTTCAAGCTTCTATTTAATATACTGTATTATTTTACATTATTATTGTTTTGTGTACATCTTAGAGCCTTGTATGCAGTTTCTTTTTATACTTTATATATTTTTTTGCTTTTTTTGGGGTGTAACTGGGACCTTGGGTACACAATTTCGTTCCACCTCATGTACCACATGTGATGCGAATGACAATAAAGGTCCTGAACCTTGAACCTTGTGTGTGGTCTAAATTAAAATTTCTTGTTAAAATTTTTCTTGTACAAAGTATTTGTTTTATTCAAAACTTTTGAAATCTACACAACAAAAACATTAGTGAAACTAAATTTTAATCCACAAAAAGAACTGATCCCAGTCTATGTAGGTAAAACACTCATCCATCCAAACTCCACCGAGTCCCATCTTCTTGCGAAGAGGCAACAGCTCCAACCACTTTGCCACAGCGTTGACTTGTAGATGAACGTACTGTATATGGCATAATCAGACACGCATTGAATTAAGGACACATTTATTTTGAAATATGAGAGGAAATATGCTGCATAACACACACAAAAAGAACAAGCAAGACAGCTGTCAGGAACACAAAAGGGGGTCAAGCAGGGTGGTGAAGAGCTATAAAGACAATTCTATGCATTCAAACACACTCAAGTTTTACAAAACTTGTGTAAATTTGCTATTCAAAAGTTGTTGTTTTTTATTCTAGTTCAAGTATATTTAAAAAAAACTATTTGCAAATATTACTAAACAAATAGTTTCACTACATACAATTGCATCAAAATTGTTGGACTTCTCAATCCCAAATGGCTTTCACAGGTAAACAAACTCTAGATAAAAACTCACAATAATAAATTGTAGGACTTTAGATTGTTTTGAAAAACAACTGTGCTTTTTGCTGCCCTCAGATTTCCCAAAACATAATAATACATGGTACAAGCAGCCTAATTATTACATTAAATTGGTTCAATATCATTTTATCTCTGCCTTTCACAGATGAACTGTTATGTTTCTGTTGTTTATTAGAACACAAAATGCAGACAGAGGCGAAAAACTCAGAGATAAAATATGTAAATAATTTATTAAACAAAATTAAAAGACTGACATTGCAGCAAAACTTACAAGCAGACACGGAGGGTAACAGATCATGAGCCTTAACAAAATAATGCACGGACAAGGAAGAACACAGACAGAATATAAAGAGACGCTAACAAGGAAATAGTTTCAAACACCTAGGAGAGGACAATGAGGGACAGGTACAGCAGGAGTTGGTAACACGAGGGAGAGCAGGAAAACAAAAGGGTCACAAGACACAACACACACACAGATCCTCACAGTATCCCTCTCTAAGGATGGCCCTTGATACCCACAAAATTATTCTAACTTGGGTAGGAGGAGGGGGCAAAACAGGATGGAGGGCACAAGAAAGCAAAAGGGGAAAAGAAAAACTGACCGGAAATTACCTGGGAAACTCAAAACACACACAAAAAGGCAGAGAGATCAGGCATATGGTCAGGAGACCATTCGGCATGGGACACAAGTTCAAGCATACGGCCAGGAGACCATCGAGTACAGGACAAGAGTTCAGGCGGACGGCCAGGCGGACGGCCAGGCGGACGGCCAGGCGGACGGCCAGGCGGACGGCCAGGCGGACGGCCAGGCGGACGGCCAGGAGACCATCCGGATCAAGGAAAGTGTTCAGGAAGACAGCCCAGAGACCATCCAGAGTGAGGCAGAAGGCCAGGAGACCATCCATCACAAGGCAGGAGTTGCATCCACCTGGACCCTCATCCCACTTAGGCCGAAGAGAGGTGAAGAGACCACTGGAGGTGCTATTGCGGCAGATGTAGAGACCAATGGGAATGCTATGATGGCAGACGGACCAGGCATGAGAGCCGCAGATGGTGAGACAGGAATGAGAGTTGCAGATGGCGAACCAGGAAGAAGAGCTGCAGACAACTATGAGTCAGACAAGGGGATTGCAGGTGATGATGGAACCAAAAGAGCTGCAGAAGAGACCAGCAGATCTACAGCAGGCAAAGGGACCAGCAGCTCTAAAGCAGATGAAGGGGCCAGGGGATCTGCAGCAGGCAAAAAGACCGGGGGATCTGCAGCAGGTTAAGAGACCAGGGGATCTGCAGCAGGTAAAAAGACCAGGGGATTTGTGGCAGGTGAAGAGACCAGGAGATCTGCAGCAGGAATTTAAACCAGAGAATCTGCAGCAGGTGAAGAGACCAGGAGATCTGCAGCAGGTGAAGAGACCAGGGGATCAGCAGCAGATGTAGAGACCAGGGGATCTTCAGCAGACGTAGAGACCGGCAGATCTGCAGCAGACGTAGAGACCGGCAGATCTGCAGCAGACGTAGAGACCAGCAGGTCTTCAGCAGGCATAGAGACCAGCAAGTCTGCAGCAGGTGAAGGGCCAGAACATCTGCATTAAGTGTAGAGACCACAGGGGCTGCAGTAGGCATAGCTACCACAGGGGCTGCAGTAGGTGTACTATCACAGAGACTGTTGTGGGCATAGCTACCACAGGGATTACAGAGTGTGTATCTACCACAGGGACTGCAAAGAGCATAGAGAACTCAGGAGACATGGGACCCTCAGGAGACATGGGACCCACAAGAGACATGGGACCCACTCTAGACGTGGGAACCATAGGAGACACGGGAGCCACAGGAAGCTTAGAACCCAGAAACTTGAGAACCACAGGAGATTCAGGAACCACAGGAGACTCAGGAACCACAGGACATCAAGAGGAAGAGTGAGAGGCATCTTCTAGGGCCCTCTGGAAGGAAGAGTGAGAGGCATCTTCCAGGAGCCTCTTAGAGGAAGAAGGAAAATATGTCCTCCTGGACCCTCTTGGAAAAAGAGTAAGAGGAATCCTCCTGGATCCTCTCAGAGGAACAGAGAGAGGCATCCTCCTAGGAAGAGTGAGAGACCCTCTCAGAAGAAGAGTGAGAGACATTGCCCCGGATCCTCTTGAAAGAAGAGTGAGAAGCGTCCACCAGAACCCTCTTAGAGACACAGGAAGTCAGTGGGCCACTGCAACTGACACCCACAAAGACACGGGAAGCAGGTGGGTCATCATCCCCAAACCCCACAGAGACACAGGAAACTGATGACGGTAAAGAAAACACTGGCAGCACAGGAGACACTGGTGGCACAGGATAGTTAGAGATGGATGTGATGATATATTCTTCCAAAGAAGTTCTTATCTTGATGAGTAACTGGTTGGAGTCCAGGATAAGAATGAGACCAGGCTGAGAAATTAAAATTATTTCAGCAAAGGAGATAGTGGTCCTCTGGTAATAAGGGTCTGGATTGAATTAAGCAAATGAAAACATTATTGAGCATGGACTTTTTTGGTTTTTGCAAATGAAAACAGTTTTTCAAGTTGTCTGTTTATTATGGCGAGGTCAATGGGAGAATTTTCTGCAGAATTTAGGTAGTCAAGAAAAGAGATGTTGGCTGGGTCTGTTTGGTTTTGTAGCTGTTTCATCAGCTAAGGGGGACATGGCTGAGCAGGACTGGGCTGCTTCTTCGGCTTGGCAGGACTCAGCTGCTTCAGTGGCTGGGTAGGACTCGGCTGCTTCAGCGGCTGAGGAGGACTCTCTGGAGGCTCATCCTTATCGGTCTGCTCGGAAAACGCAGGAGATATTGCGGCAGTGCAGAACACTCTGTTTGTGGCACAGGAGGCTCAGTGGACCGGACCTGGATTCATCATTGGCCCCTCCTGTGGCAGCTTTGTGAGCTATGACCAGGGGCAAACCGGAACTCATCATCAGGCTCTGGATCCTCCTCCAATGGACACTCAGAAACTTGAGAGGTAAGCGGGACGGAGTGTAGCAGGCAGCTGCTGAACCACGTGGCACCGGGGGTGAGCAAGGAGGTGGAGAAAAGGAGAAAACGGGCTTGAAAGCGTAGAAAATTTTAAAGTAGTTGCCATTTACTGCGTTCTGGTGTATTTTAATGGGTTGTTAAACATCTAGTTTCACCTACACAAATAAACACTTGATGTAATAACTATTTTAGAGTTAATGACACAACAAGAAGTAGCCTGACCAACAGTTCTCCTTGTGTGTGAAGAACACGCTCCGCTTCTCTCACGTGTCCTAGCCACAGTCTAAGAAACATAGTGTAGCCTAAGCTAACTATTTTTTTTTGTTTTGTTTTGTTTTGGGTTTTTTTGGGGGGGGGATCACTAGCCAATATGAAAATATAATAATAATCACTCCTTCTTACCAATGGCCTAGCATAAAGCAATACATCAAAGTTCATAAATCAAGAATCGAGGCAGCCTTGACAGACCCTCACCGTGAAGGAGTCTGACTCACTGCCAGCAATGCAAACCAGACTCTCACACCGTTTGTATAGTGACTGAATGGCAATGGACCCCCATTCCCTACTCACAGAATATTAAACATAAGCACATATTTATCTGTAAAAGTAAAATGGGCACTTTGTCAAATGGGATTTTAATACCAGCAGTCACAAAAACTAAATTTTGTTACTTATTGTTAGAACATGATCTTTGCTTTTATGAGGGAAATTAAATATGACTTTTCCCCCATTTATTTTATATCATTTTACACTCAACCCTCAGACCTTAAACTCTTCAACATGTTTCACAGTGTAAGCCGTGAAAGACAAATCCTCAAGCTGATGAGTGGATGAGTGAGTTGGTTCCCTTGAGTTTTCTCTCCACACACATCATTACACATGATTTTCTAGGAAAGCTTTAAATAAAGTAACATGATTCAGAAGTACCACATTGTCCTTATGTCACTTGAAGGAACTCATACTTTGTCAGAGGTGTGAGGTGATACATACAGATGGTATGTGGAGCAAAAATACGCATTATTTGTATAATAATTTTAAAGGTACAATACTGTTAATAGTAAAGTGTTGTTTTTTATTGAGCTAGCCATTTTTGTAGTTACAAATTAATGTTGTTTTTTTCTTTCTGTGTTGTTGTTGTTTTTTTCAGAACATATAATTATGAAATACACAAATATTACAACCATAACAGACTTTAAAATCATTGGATTCCCAGGACTGCCACCAGAGTACACTGGACTAGTGTCCTTTTTTCTATTCCTGGTTTTTCTTGTTATAGTGTTTGGAAATATTTTTATTTTAGTTGTCATCATATGTGAAAGGACTCTCCACAAACCAACATATTTGATCTTTTTTCACCTTGCAATGACGGACATTCTTTTTGGCACTGTAACTCTTCCAAAAATCATTGCCAGATATTGGTGGAATGACATATTGTTTTCATTTGGAGCATGTTTTGCACAGATGTATTTTGTCCATTCTTTGGGGGCTATTCATTCTTTGATTTTGCTAATGATGGCATTGGATCGCTTTGTTGCCATATGGCTTCCATTCAAATATCCCATTTTATTTACAAACAAAGCCGTTTCTATTGCTTGTAGCCTGTGCTGGGTTTTAACATGTATACGAATGATGGGGATAGTGCTACATGCCTTATTTCTACCTTACTGTGACCTTAACACTGTCATGCAGTGTTACTGTGATCATGTTTCCGTCACTGCTCTGGCATGTGGGGATAATGTTGCTTATGTTAAATGGGTTGCAGCTGCAAATGCTATGGTCACTCTTTTGGTTCCTTTAACTTGTATTATTTTTTCTTATTTTTCCATCATCGTAGCTGTCTTGAAGATGTCTCTCAAAGGAAAGCATAACAAAGTGCTGTCCACCTGTGCCCCTCAGATCTTTGTAACCTGCCTTTATTATGTGCCCAGATGTTTTATTTATCTTACAAACAATTTGGGATTTAAATTTAGTCTTAATGCCAGTGTAATCATAATGATGATTTACAGCCTCGCTCCTGCTACTGTCAATCCAGTGATATATTGTTTTAAGACCATGGAAATAAAAAAGGCATTAATACAGAGATTTATGAATAAAAAAATTAAATTCACACTCACAAGTGACTGTAAGCAAAATATCACATAGTACAGTATTTTGTCACACAGATTGGATTGTTCACATGATTGTACACATTGTATTTTACTTTTAAATATAAATTTGGCTGATAACCATTTTTAAATTATTGTTTTTAGTATGATTTCATACAGAATAGAACAAGATAATATGATACAAACTGACATTTTTAAAGGTTGTACAGTTTCTACATAGAAATACCAAATTAAACAAATAAGTATACTTAAAATGTAATATTTAATATTTTCTTTCAGTTTGTTTAGGTTTGGCCTTCTGTAAATGATGTTTAGTAGTTTATTGGTAATGGTCTTGAAATATTTTTGCTTTTGTTGTTATTGTCCTTTTAACAAAAACTTTAATAATTTGATTTTGAATCAAAGCAGCTCCTTTCGGATGGAAAACTGTCCTAAAAACATAAAAAATTCAGTTACACATAAAATGCTAAATAAAAACTTTCATAGAATGAAAATAACATTTTTTTAATGTTATAATAAAAATAACAATACTGAAAACTTTTTCTTAAGTTACTGGTATTGAAACTTTCTTCTGATAACTTTTTGATTTCACATTAAATTTTCATAAAATAACTTATGGAAATGATGGATGCTGTCTCACCAGACCTTTAGAGGTCAAATGGATAGAAAATACATTTTATAATTCAAATTATTGTCTTTTTCCCCTCTATGTTTCTCTAAATCTGACCACAGGTTGGAGTTAAACCATCAGGCTATAGTGACCTGAATAAACCGCTTCAAAGTACAGAAGATGAAGGTATTTGATGCTTGAAGTTTAAAAAAAAAAAAACATTTGTAATGTTTCTGCTGAATTAAAAAATAACTAAATAAATAAAAACAAATTGAACATCGTATTCTTTATTAACACAAAATAATCTGAGACTTACGTTTAAGCACACTATTTAAAAAAAAAAAAACTTTTTCAGAGTAATCATTCAGAATCAGACCATAAGACCAGATGGGCAATTCCTTTCCTCATTTTTTTCCATTACTATTATATATTTTTGCACTGTCTTAAAAATAAATTTAAGCTTTAAATTATTATAAATTATTGTGTTCTATGTTGCTGTTGTTTTTATTTATTTTTTTGCCACATTCTAACACTTTGGAAAACAAGGTTGTAATCTCCTGATGCATGCTCAATAAGGTTGTAATCTGTTCACAGTTTTTATTTCCTTCATCACTTCTAGATTTGTCGACTGCAACTCTATATTTTGGTCTTGAAAAATGTCCTCCTCATTTAGTCCAGAATGCTGCTGTGCAAAGAATAACCACATCTTTTCAGCTTTAAACTGCATGTTTTGTACAGATTTATTTGACCTGCTTTTAAGGTTTTAAATGGTTTGAGACAATTATTTCATTGACTTTAAAAGAGCACAGTCACAGTCAGCCAGATGTTTTAGTGCTGCTGAGTTCAGGGGAGAAGGGCATTTGCATTGGCAGGTCCCAAACTCTAAAACAATCTGCCTCTTCTTAATCTCATAAAAATCTTCTTTTTTTTTTTCATGCTAGTTTTCAACCCAAGTTCAGTTCGAGTCCAATCCCATTTTTATGTTGTGATGTTTCTTTGCTTTTGGTTGTTTTTAACCTATTTTATTGTATTTGTATGTTTTATATTTTTATTTTATAGTATTCAGTTTATTGGTGGATTTTTTTTTGTTTTTGTTTTATTTTGTTTTTTTTATTTTAACTAACTTGTAAAATGCTACTTTATCTTTTAAACATGTTATAGTAAAACTATTGGCATTGATAAGGTAATTATTTACTGAAATGTTGCATCAATGTTCCTAAGTACAGGAAAGTGTTTTGTTCATCCAACATTCAAAAAATGTAATCACTGAAACATAATATTTTATTATAGTAGTCAGCTTGATGCTTAGCAAGAACAAATTTGACTGAAAATCATAGTTAAAAGTAAAATTACATTCAAATGTTTGTAAGTGAAGCAGTTGGAGGCTATCAGCAGCCAACTTACAGTGTACAGTAACTTACATGGTACTTAATACATACATTTGTTTTCTAAGAACATATTCAACACTTAAACAAAATAAAAATGAAAAAAAGATTTCAGACTAAATCATGTTTCTTACAAAGTTTTCTTACAGTCTTGGAAATAAAATAAAAATCCTGTCTGCTGCTCAGTGAACTGATATTTATGTTTCTAACTGAGCGGCTACAAATAAATGAACAGAAATGCAACACAGAATAGCTTAGTGCACAAAGTAAACTACATAGACTAAGTCAGTTTATCCACCTAAATACTCAAGAGACAAATCAAATAATTTCCTCAATATCGCTTTGCATCTCACAGCTGTGACTGGAGTCGACGGGCAAACGTGCAATATCTTCAAATACAGGTGCATAGCTGCTGAAAGGCAGCTGTGTATAAAATATATTTTCAAAATGCTCAAACAAGCTGGAGGAAATATTCTCAGTTTCATCCTGACCTACAGTGGAGGAGGTTAGTTTAAAAAATGTGTTGACAGCCAGGAAGTCTTCCTGCCCAAAGCTGCGCCCTGACTGGCCGTGCACATGTTTCTTACCAGTGATGATAGAAAACTGTCCATAATCTGAATCAGAGCAGGTAAGCGTGCTGTCTGTTTCACACTCAGATGAAGTCTCAGTAGTCATAGTGGACTTGGTGGGCCCAGATTTCAGAAGGGATTGCTGTGAAAGTCCAGTGGGAGAATTTAGTTTATGTATTTCTTCCAAACTGAGGCACTGTGTTGGCTCTAGGAGTTCTGGTTGTGGAAATATTTTAAAACGACAAGGCGGTGTCTGCTGGGGCTGCTCAGAGTCAATCCTGTACAACCGCTGTTTGTTTAGTGAGGCCACCTTTTTTGGTATTGGAGGGGGGGTTTCTTCACTTGAGCCATCTTTCCTCAATTTTGCTAGCAGCATTCTCAGATCTCCCCACTGTTTAGAAGCACTTTTCACATGTTTCGTCTTGTATAAATGCTTGTGCCAGCTGAGATTCGGCGAGTTTTTCTCAGAATGAAATTCACTACAGATGCTGCTGATCTCATAATACTCCAGCTCACTTGGTGTCATCGGCTGAGCACACGGCACACCAGCATCCAAATAAAACTCGCTTGAGCTCTGCTGACTTGCACTGGTAGGGTCAGGATGTTTCTGTTTTGCAGTCGATGCAACATCTGCAAGAACTTTGTTGTCATCAAAACAAAAAGTCATGTTTGCTGTTCCTTGCTCTGTTTTCTGAAGGAAGGTCTCATTTTTAAACCTCATATCTCGCTGTCTGACTCTATACAAGCCTATACACATCCCCATTATAACAAGAATGGAGATGAGAGGGAGAACCACGGCTATGAGCCACAAAGGCTTGCTGTGATGCACTCCATAGCATTCCTCATGGGTCGTAAAGATGCAGATATCACAGAGATGATCCGAGTTATTCTGCATACAGATGCAGGATGTGTTTTGCACAGCTGGTCCACACGTCCACCGGTTTGAACAATGTGAGAGACACGTTCTCCCACCAGCATTCTCCTCAGAGCAAGGCAAGGAGTGGCACACATCTGGAGAGTTGCAGCTGGACTGGGTGAAACTCAAGCTTGGCCGTACCTCTACCATCAAACTGTGTCCGCTGACAGGCAGAGTGTGACCATTCACGTTAAAGTACTGCACACACCCACTGAACCCTGGCATAAGAAGAATGTTGACATTTCAACACATCACTTGAAATCTTTGCTCATTTCAATACAAATCTAAAAATACTTAATTATCCTTATAAGGCTCACCTGACTGTTGGAACGTTGTTTCTGGTTTTGGAGCTGCACCAAGAATGAACCTTTCCACACTAACAGGAGAGAGATCCATGCTTTGCACAGAGCTGTTCAAGACTTTTTCATCGTCCACTGACAAAAAAATATCATGTCCATTGCTGGACAAGGACAGGACGTGCCAGAGCCCATCAGCCACCAGAAACTCCACGGTGAACTCTGACAGGTGTCCTGACAAGATGTCTTTGAAAATAAACACAGGCTTTCCATCTCTTATCTGAAGAAAAGTTTAAGAAAAAAAGCTGTTATATGCTAAATACAGTGAAGTTCATCATCTATGCAAAATAAACACATATTGTACTAACCATCAGTATAATGTGTTTTGTGTGTCCAAGAACAGACAGTAAAACTCCTTCTTCTTTGGTTTTGAACTTGATGTTCAACACAGTTTGCTCTCCAATATTACTCTCTTTTTCTTTATCCACCAGATTTTTAAGCCAGTAATCCCTCTTGAATCTCTCCTTGATGACATATTCAATGTAGTCATTCTCATTAAATCTTAGTACAATATCTTCTGACATTTCTGTTTCAATAAAAGAGGAAAAATGTGGTTTTAGTTGCAACTCTACTCAAAACAAAACTTTATGGACTTTACACCTCTCTCCAACAGGCTTTTAGTAAGTTTTAAGTTTTGCAGTCTATGTCTATCCATACAATTTATGTTTCAACAAATAGTACAATTCTTGACATATTGGGGATATTCACATGGGGAATTCATGACATAGTATTGTGAATGAGGAACTCTATAAGCTGAAAATTAAATTGTTAGGACAAATTAAAAAGTCTTTTTGTATTTGTTTTTTATCTTTACCTGTGGCACAGTTACTCCCAGTAAAAGGACTTTTGCATTCACAAAAATAATCAGACCAAAGGTCTTGACACACACCACCGTTCTGGCATGTGGCACTGCTGCATCCTGACACTGCTGTTCGAGGACACCTTAATGTAAAACACATACTGCTTAAGGAAAACAGATGCAGTGTACTTTCTCTACTGAACCAAAATACACTTGAATCATAAAACACATTTATGTGTTAACAAGGAACATCTACATACGGTATTGTAAAATAACCAAACAATCCTACCTGTCAAAGACGTTGTACGTGGTAAGACCAGCTGAAGGTCTCAGCAGCAGTCCATTTACTTGAATATTTCGAAAACACCCAACAAAGTCATGAGTTTTTATCTGGTTAGGATGCTGGGAAATTAATTCATGACTCCTCAGCCCTCCAAATGTCATATTAGTGTTGCCAACATCAAGTGTCCTAATAGATGTAAGGATAGAGCAAGAACAATTGACTTAAGTCCGAGCTTTTTCTTCAAGGCTACAAAAATAGATGAAATATTGTCCTTAATATTGTTTATTTTGGCACCTTTCTGAGAGACTGCCATCAGTCTTTGAAAAGCAAAACCCATTGCTCTCAACATCTGTGCAGTTGTCCACAAGCAAAGACCCCATCTGTTAAATAAACATGAACTTTTTTTTATTGTTTCTTCCTCATCTGGAAACAGTTGCCTGGGCAACTTCGAGAATGAACATAGTTAAAACTCACATTGCCAATCCTCTTGACAGTGATGCTATGAAACTGCCCATCTGCAACCTGCTGGTATGTCTTCAGCCTCACAGGCCCTGAGCCAAGGTCAAAAGAAAAATGTACGGTCCCGTCAAGAATCTCCAATGCAAAGAATTCCCTGCTGGATGGTGGTCCAGGATTGTACAGGAGGAGTGAGTTCTTCTGCACTGTCGCAAACTTGAATGAGATTAAATTGGTCCTGCGGTCAAGAGGTGGAAACTCCACAAAGGACATCTCTTCAAAGCCATAACTGTGTTCTTCACAATGAACTCCACTGATTCCTAAAAATGAAGTGGGGAGAGGGGAAATTTTAAAGCATACAGGTTTGGGTTATAAGTTGAAAATGTTGCCTTTACAATTGAGAAATGGGGCAAGTAGAAAATAGGGAATATAAAACAGGAACAAATTGCTGAGATGACAAACTATTTGAACATCTGCTGCTCATAAGATAATAAATTAACTTGATAGAAATACTTTATTTAGCCAGAACTTACTCTGTATTTATCCAGTAAGTACAAGGTAGCAAGTCACAACTTACATAAAACAGTCTGTCTCTACATAACAGGTATCCAACCAGTATGTACCAGGTAAGGACCAGGTAAGTATCAGGTATACCAACACCACCCTGCATGTAGCGTTTATACCAAGTAAGTACCAGCTACAGTGCATCAGCCAGTGTGTTGCTGTACCTGTATGGGTACTGGTTATGCAAAGGACAGAATCTCCAGGTGATATAGAGCAGCCAGTACTTATCTGGTACCTACTGGGTAATGTTTAGGTACATATCCAGTCAGGACCAGGCTGTAACAAATTATTAATAAGTTGTAAGTTATTTTTGCACTTGTTTTTATATAACAAAACACATTTGTTAGTTAAATTTTCATGGCTAATCTGTGACCTTTGAGCTCCACTTGGCTTGTTATTTTGCCTCATAATAAAATGCAAACTATCTTCTACTGACTGCAGTCACCGTGTTTTCTAGAAACCTGAGCTTTTGATGTAAGCATTCATTTATGTACAAAGTATGTATTTGGGTGATCCTTCTGTATCTGTATTAGTCTCACCAAAAGGACAATCACAAACAAATCCTTTCTGTAGGTTGACGCAGCTGCCCTGAACACAGGGTGTTGATGTGCAGTGATCTATAAGCTCTTGACACTTTTCCCCTGAAAAAAAAAAGATAAACCACAAAATTTAAAGTGATTCTGGTTTCTGTTCCAAAAATGATTTTGTCTTTTTTACTGGGTGACATAGCCTACCTTTAAATCCAGGCACACACTGACAATAATATCCATCCTGTGACTGAATACACGTTCCACCGTTTTGGCACTTCACCTTCAGGCATTCATCGGCATCAGCAGAGCAGGTAGATCCAGAGAAGCTACTCTGACAGTGACAGTAGAAACTTCCTGCTGTATTCTCACATGTGCTGTTATTCTCACAGGGATTTCTCCCACATTCATCAATGTCATCTTCACACAGCGACCCAGTGAATCCAACTGGACAGGTACAATTAAAAATGTCTTTCTGTGGTGACACAAATATGACAGCCATGCTTTCCAGGACAGCAACTCCCTGGCTGATGTGAATGTTTTTGTTGCATGATGCCCTGTTTTGGCAGGGGATGGTGAGACATGGGTCACTGGTGATGTGAGAAATTGTCACATTGCTCTGGGCTTCTAGCAATTTCTTATGTCCAGCAGATATACTGCTCGCTACCTCTCTGCTAAGATACTGTCCATTGTAGTTTTTTACAGCAGCCAACAGAAGGATTTCATTTCCAATACGTTTAATTCCAAAAACGTGAGTCTTTGAGGCCTGCAGGTTAAAGAGACTGTCCAGAGCTTTTGTAAACCTTAAGTACTTATTAGATAAGAACTCTTCCATTGAAGATGATGACATGTAAAATAGTATACAACTTTCTACAGATGCATTTGTAAAACCTTTGTAGTTTATGTATATACTGTTGTTTACTGGGAAGTGAAGTTGATCAGTAGCTTCAATAGTGATGTTAAATGTAGCCTCACCTTGAAAAGGCAACGACCACAGCTCACATGTGCCATTGAGAATTGAAAACATGTTTGTCGGCCCACTTTTAATGGCACAAGTAAATGTATCAGATTCATCAAGATCCTCGGGGTGCACATTTCCAATCATGCCTCCCTTAAAAGAACTTCCAAAATATTTCACTTCAATGAAGATATTTCTTGGCAATGGAGGGTTATCATTTTCATCCACTACCTTAATGTGGAGCATAGTCGTTGAAGACAGGGGTAAGGGAAGCCCTGCATCGCTAACCTCCACCAGGACTTGATATTCAGAAGTGTCTTCCCGATCGATACTTTGTGTGGTGAATAAAATTCCATCTGGAGTAAGTGAAAAAGCACTAGAGTCTGGCAAATTTAATAATCTGTAAGTAAAAGGACCTTGATTTGGAGCTGAATCAGAATCCGATGCATTTAATCTGATGATTACAGTGCCTTCAGGTTGATTTTCCTTCACTTGAACCTCTGTTGATATGAGTCTGGGCGCATTATCATTAATATCTTCAATGGTCACAATGACATTTGTAGTCCCAGTGGCTGGTGGAGAGCCATTATCAGTAGCTGTAACAGTGAGGTTATAAACTGGCCAGAGTTCTCTGTCAAGTGAAGAGTTTACTGAAATGACACCTGTAAGTGGATCGATAGAGAAAGAGAAGTGTGTGTTTCCAGTTTCAATGGTGAAAAAGAATCGATTCCAGTCTGGTATGTAGTCCTGATCCAGAGCACTTACAGTTAGCACAGATTTCCCAATTGGGCTGTCTTCCGTAACATTTGCAACATACCATGTAGAGGTGAACGAAGGTGCATCATTGATGTAATTTATATTGATGTGGACTAATGCCTCATCTACATTTGCCCCAGTTATAACACCAGAGTTCTTGGCAAGAACTTTAAAAATGACATGGCTGTTGCCCTGATTCTTCAAACTTCCACGTGTATGTATTTCTCCAGAAAGCTCGTTAATGTCAAAGTCTGTATTTTTGCCATGGTCAAACATCAAATAAAGCACCAGGCCTTCAGGGCCTCGGTCGTTATCAGAGGCTGTCACTTTCCCTATTGCCGTTCCAACAGGCACATTTTTAAACACAGAGAAGTTAAAGGTTTTTTTCATAAATGTCGGAGTAAATTCATTGGCATCTACAACGTGGATAACGATGTATGCCAAGCCAAATAAACTGTTCCTGCCAGTGTTTGAAGCTTTGATTGTTAAATCAAAGAACTGCTCTTGCTCATAATCAAAAACATCCAAAGTAGTTACAATCCCATTTATTGGATCTATTGCAAATTTATCCACATACCCAGCTATAAGAGAGTAGGATATTTGTGCATTTTCCCCTGAATCCATATCAGTGGCCTTGGCATCTAGAACAATTGTTCCAATTTTTGAGTTTTCAAAAACTAAAATTGTGTACTCAGATGATGGAAACACTGGAGGATTGTCATTTACATCCATTATTATT